ATGGCAAGTCCAGGAGACGGTGGGCTGGATGCAGCCACAACCGCAGCATCGTCCGGATCCCTGTGGAGGCTTTTTGATGATCATCCCCCGGCACAAGTCCTCCAGAGAGTGCTGATGCCGGAAGCTCCTCCTCATATCGTATCTTAGTTCATTTTCTGGGTATCCAAGCTAGGCCTTGATCTTCTGCATAGAAACAAACAGACGGGCCAGGGGTAATTTTATAGCCAGCTAAACTTATTGTTGGCTTGAAGATTGGCAAAGGATCCTTTCTTTTCTAATGATGAGATTGGGTAGGAGAGATTGATGTTAGAATGAGCCTGAATGAGCCTCTAAATAATTTTCTGAAGTTTAAACTGTTCCCAAAATTACAGTACAGCAAAGAAAATCTCCACTGTTTTGGAGAAATGTGGTAATTACATCAAAGATCACCACCAGCCTAACCAAAGTTTTTGACATAGTGAACATACCTACGTAATGGTAGTTTTTTGGTGAATGAGACTAAGAATTCTTTTAGCTTGTGCTATTTATGGTTGATATGATGATAATGAATGTCATGATACAATAACACAAGTAATGACTATATCGACTGTTTACATGCTCATGTAACTGTACTAAGCACCTTTCATTTGTGTTGTCAATAAATCTGCAATATAGGGCTTATAATACCATTTTATAGAGGAGAAGAGTAGACCTCAGAGGGAGGCTAGATATTTACTCAGGATCTTGGTATGCAAATAAACTAATGTTCTTTGGGGTAAACACTTATTTTAGGAGGCAGTAATCATCCACTGTTCAGGAACAGTTACCAAGGACAATGCTTGCAGACTGTGTGCTGAGGAGTTGCCAAATTTGTGGGGTTTCATGGCAGAGGAATTATAGCAGGAATACTACATATAACCAAGGAATTGTTTTTATTGCTTCAGTTAGTCATCTGGAACTGGGAAGTGCCACTTTAATAATTATTGCTTTCATAATAAGTAGTACTAAACCTTATTTTTAATTGAGTTTTTAACAGAGGCTTTGCAAAAAGAAAGAATTCCATACTTTCACCTCCAAAGGCTGACCAGTATTACCATTTTGGAATATTTTCCCTTTTCATTATTTTTTCAAATAGTTATACAGCTTGTTTCTGAAATTAGCATTTTCCCCCCTAACAAATAGTAATTTCATTTTATTATTGTGTCTGTAATTCCATTGGGTTCTCCACCTGTTCTCTGCTGTTACTATAAGGCTCCATTGTCTGTAGATGCTTATTAATTCATAAGAAAGACCCAGTGCGTGATATTGATTTTTCTCATTCCATTCTTTAAGATATCATCATTAGAAAAATGTTGCCTGCTGTGGTAGAAAGCATTGTTGTTTTTTGGCAGTCATTGGACTGTACCCATTATATTACCAGTTATTAGCTGTGTGTCCTTTGATTAATTTACTTAACCTCTCTGGGCATCTATTTCTTTAAGTAAGGACAAAATGAGATTGCACACAAAAAAGACCTACCACAATGTCTGCCCACAAAGGTGCTTTTCAAATGTTGAACTTGCTCTTGAAAGATTGGTACACAGTTGGATATAGTCAATGCTGAAAGGACGTTCTAAGTAGTTTTGTTATTTTTCCCCTAATTCTCACATAACCTGTGATAGTGACTTAATTTCCTCCTCCAAATGATAACCTATCCCTTCATGGCTGAAGCTCTTGGTACTACTTTCTATAGTTGAAGTATTTGGGACTGTTGAATATTTAGCACCAAATATATTCTTCTAATCCAAACCACTACCTATGAAGATTATTTTGAGCCCACTATTATATGTAGTACTGTCTGAATCCATTCAGACTGCTATAACAAAAATAATATAAATTGGTGGTTTATTAGCAACAATCATTTATTTCTGATAGTTCTGGAGGCTGGGAAGTTCAAGGTCAAGTTGCTGGTAGATTCACTGTCTGCGAGGGCTTCCTTTCTGGCCATAGATGCCATCTTTTCACCGTAACCTCTCACAGCATAAGGGGCAAGATAGCTTTTAATATGGGCAGTAATCCGTGTCACAAAGGTTTTACCCTCATGACCTAATCACCAAAGACCCCCTCTCCTATTACCATGACCTTGGGGATTTGGATTTCAGCATATAATTTGGTGGGGAGGATACAGATCTTCAGACTAAAGCAACTGCCTTGCTTCTCACGTTCCACTGTCCCATAGAAGAATTGAGGATTTCACGTCCAGTATTTCATTTAATAAAGTCTATCTTATTTTGATACCTCACTACTCCTTCCTTTGCTTGAGTAAAGGCATTCTTTTTCCCATTGCGTTTCATTCTTCTCACCCCCCTTTCTCTTTTCATGTTTGAAAATCCATTGTAATACTTTTATCACAATTCACTTTTAAGAAACTTCAACTGAAATGTTTCAAAGGAAATAAGAATTCTCTGTGTAATCTTTCCAACAAATAGATGCTGGCCCCTTTAAATACATCTTGTAATATGATGGCCATTAATACATCATAAAATAATACCAGTTATCGCTTCATTTCAGTATAAAGGATACTTATTTCCTTATCCCTTATATTTCATCTATCTTCCTTGTCTAGTCTAGAAGATAAACCCACTATTTTATTGATGCTTACAGGAGGTGAATAGTGTTATTTACCATGTTATCCTTATAAATATCACAAATGCTCTGAGTTATGGAATTTGTTGAAACTAACTGCATCATGTATATAAAATATTGGCAATAAAAATTCTCTTTTAAAAAAACTTTGGTAATGAATAGCTTTATATTCATTTAAATAAATTGAAATAATCCAAGCCTTCTTGATGAACTTTGATGGGGGTTATGTATTTCTGCTTTGTTTAAGCCTTTCCAAGCTTTTGTGTATGTGATCATTATTTATGAAGCTGCTGCTGTTATGTCCTATGATGTGTGTTAAAGCTATAAAATATGCTCAATTCAGCAGCCCTTGCCAAGGCACATTTACTAATTTTGGGCTAATCTTTTTGTTTGTTTGTTTGCCAGCATGCTCTTCACAGAAGACAGCATGCATTCTGTAAGGACCCTTATTCTGTCTTCTAATTGATATGTGTGAAGCATTGATGGCTGCCAAGAGTTTCAAGAATGAAAATATTCAATATAGTTTTAAACCTATTTCCCAGCAGCATTTGGTAGTGATTCATCTATCCATTACCTTTACAGCCTTGACTATCAAATATAATTAATATAGAAAGCCTAAATCTATGAGATTTTAAAAATCAGTAAAGATAAGAGAGCTAATTGAGTAACCCTATCTTTAATAAAATACTCAGTTTGAAAACTATTCAAAATTGGATTTTGCTGGTCTTTCCCATTTTTATCTTTGTACC